TTGGTTTTTTTTTTTTTTTTTTTTTTTTTGCCGTTTTGCCGTTTTGAGTTACAATATGTACTAAGAACATGAGGTTAGAAACCAAAATTGTGAGGCAGCCTGGTGGAATCAGGCTCTCGTCAAAATATATCTAGATCTAAATGAAGAAACCTGCATTTTTCCGCAGGTTTGTGAATTTTGATCAAATTTTTGTTTTTTGGCTCAACACCTTTCATGCCCAAAAAAGAACTCATTTCTGAGTGTACTTTTCTGAAAAACGTTGATGAAAGTCACAAAAATGTAAATTTTCAGTTACCAAGGACTTTTAAGCTAAAGAAATAACTAATCTTTGGCGGCCATTTTCTCACTAATTTTGCCACTGAAAATAGGTGACCCCCACCTCCTTCATTCACAAATATCTCGACTTGTATTCAAGATAAATGCATATTTTTTTCATACAAATAAAAACAATTGAACAGGTGATACCAATAACTCGACCCTAAAAATTGACGAGATCCTGATTCCACCACGCTGCCTCACTTTAATGTTATATCTGCTCCCTCAAAATCGTAAGATTGTTCGGGGTCGTTTTCAATATTATGTTTAAAGAACTGCATTCGAAAAAGCTTGACATGTTGTGAAACTCAAACTCTTTTACGTCAAATATCTCAAAATTATCTGAGCAAATAGAATCTTGTTGTTCTAAAGTAGCGACATTTCACCTGTATTATCTCACAGTTCTTGTAGCGGTACCAGTGACGACAACAGCCAAGGCAAACGAGGTGAGAGAAATGTCACGCCGACTGTGCTGGTTCTGTCTGTCTGTCTGTCTGTCTGTCTATCTACTTGTCTGTTTGTTTGCTTGTATCTATCTATCTATCTGCTTGTACATCTATCTATCTATCTATCTATCTATATCTGTCTGTCTGTCTGTCTGTCTGTCTGTCTGTCTGTCTGTTTGTCTGTCTATCTATCTATCTATCTATCTATCTATCTATCTATCTATCTATCTATCTATCTGTATGTCTGTCTGTCTGTATAAGTGCCTCTATGTGTATTTGCGAAAGTGTATTATCATGTTTTTGTGCATGCGTATGTGTGCATGCGTGTGTTTCTGAGTGTGTGTATGTGTGTGTGTGTGTGTGTGCGCGCGCGCGCGCATGCGTTGGTTCAATACCTTCATATTCATACCTTTTGGTGCAGAAGCTAGTAAGAAAGCTTGTTTTTGGACGAGTTCATGGTTTCACTATACACAATTAAGTTATTTTAAAGACAGGTCCAACACTGTCCATGTCTAAGGTCTTTCTCATAGTTAGAACAAACTTTTTGAGGACAGATCGAAATGAACGAAAATTGAATACAATACAGAATGCACCAAAAAAAATGTCACACCAACTCTTGGAAGGTTGTGGCGTATGAGTAGCTTCATATCTGAAGGGGAATTGCGTCCCTGTTGGTGAGATAGCTGACTGCTTTTTTAAATCTATTTATATACACTTGAAATTTGTGTTCTTCTAAGCAAAACAAAAATTTCTTGCTAGAGAAGATTCTCTGAACTTATCAAACTACATTATAAATCCCAAAAGAATTTGAAAGCGTTTCTTTTGTTTCAATTCCTTATCATCAGCGCATGTGGTGTCTGTTATGCTCTGCGGGGTTCTTAATTGCCATGGCAAGCAGGAGGCGTGCGTGTGATTCCGGAGAGTTTGTTTGTTTGTTGTTTTAGCTTTTTTTTTATTCTTTATCTCCATTGCTGCTGGGCTCATATGATCTTATGCAGTTTCGAGCGCCCTTAAACAAACGAACTCTGTTTCCCACTCAGAAGTAGGCGACCCTGAGAAAGAGGTTCGAAACAAACCTGTCTCATCAGTTATAAAAATCTAAAACTGTGCCAATGGGGCGATTAAAAAAGAAGAAAATTCACTTTCAATCAGTTTACAATGAAATCCCTCCCTACTAGGGCTGGGCAATGGGTCGTTTTAGCAAAATCCGGATAATATGTTAGTGCACCTCTTTGTGCAAATAATATGACATGAACCGCAAATGGGTTAGAACCACTTTGACAAATGGGTTAGCACTACTTCAACAAATCGGTGCAGCCACTTCGGCAGACGGGTCAGGAAAGAGAGTTAAAAGTGTGAATTCGGACAATGTTATATATTGAGAATTATCTTGTTATCCTTATAATATAGATTATCCGGATTCTGCCCACCGTCTACTCACTACTCCCTACCCACTCCCACAGGCTACGACCACAGCCTTCCGCTGCCCGTTCCTGCCGTGCCCGTACGTGGGATTCTGCCATGACGTCATCCCCACCTACTACGACAAAGACGGCCACAGATGTCGCGGCTGTGACCAGTGCGTGCAGCCCCAGACCTAGAGAGAGGTCAGTCAGGTACGATCACGGGGGGGGGGTTGGGGGGGGATTGGTAAGTTTTTTTACGGCGCTCGCATCTGCATAAGGTTCATATAAGCTCGCGGGACACATTAAACGTTTTTAGTTGGTAGGAAATTTTTAATTTTGCACGGGTGGCGGCCGAAGCCTACTCTTGTCGATTTCGGACCACCAAGGGATCTTTAACGTGCGCACTTGCGCACGGGTCCTCCAAGAAGGCTAGGTGTGGGTCTTCCCTACCAGAAGATCAGGGGTGTGGCTGAGAGACAACGGTAAGAAAGAGCCAAGAAGTAGCAGTAGAAGTAGAAAGACTGCAGAAAGAGTCAGGTGACCATAGGAGGGAGCAAACCAGGTGATGGGGTGGGGGCAGAAAGTGGAGACGAAAGCAGACGACAGAAATCGCTTGAGAGCAGGAAAGGAGGTGAAAGGAGACAATTTAGAGAAGAAAAATTTCCGTCGCTATCCGAATTCGAACCTGGGACCTATTGAATGAGACGCGAACACCTCAATACCTAGGCCACAAGAGCCCCCATTTGTGTTTAGTTGTGGCTCTAATGCTCTAACGGAAGAACGAGTGTGGGAAATTACAGTTGATATTGTTTAAGACGGCCAATCATTGTTGAGGAGAAAATTAACCGTCTTCGACAGGTGACTGTACTGCACAGTGTCATTACAATGTATTTTTAAAAAACGCATTCGATGTCAACCTGACAGAAAGCCAGCGCTTTGTTTAAATTTGAGAATCTCGAACTGGCATTGTTCCAGTGGTTCCAGCATCAGTAAGCATGTACAATGTCGTCTTTCAATGTCTGGTCCCATTTTAGATTTAGCAAGTGTTTTACGGCACTTGCAACACAATAAGGTCATATAAGTGTCTAAGATTAGAGGTGTTGCAAGAGAGCAACAAACACAAAAAGAAGGAGATCAGGATGATAGATCTTCATTGCCTTTCTCACCCTGGGTCAGGATATAGGCCACGAACAAACACTCTCCACCTTTCCCTATCCTGGGCTAGTCGCTTGATGTCACTCCACGTCTTCCCACTTTTCTGTACATCCATTTCCGTGACTCTTCTTCAGGTTCCACGAGATCTGCCCCTTGATCTTTTACCCTGTGGGTTCCAATCTAATACTTTTCTTGTTATGCAGCTGCTTGACTTCCTGAGAGTGTGTCCAATCCATTGCCAACGTCTTTTTCCCACCTCATCTCTGGCTGGGCTCTGTATGGTTCTTCTTAATACTTCCTCGTTGGTGATCCTGTCTGTCCATTTGATCCTCAGTAGCTTCCTCAGACACTTGATTAAGAAAACCTGGATCCTCCTTATGCACGTATGGGATGCGTTCCACGTCTCACATCCATACATCAAGACTGACTTCACATTTGAGTTGAAAATTCTAAGCTTTGTTCGTAATGAGATATCCATAGTCCTCCAAATCCTGTTCAAAGAAATAAATGCAGTCTGTGCCTTTCCAATGCGGGACTTTATTTCAGCGCCTGTTCCTCCCTCTCGGTCAATTATGCCTCCAAGATAGCAGAAGGATTCGACGTCTTCTAGTGCATTTCCTTGTACTGTGACCTGTTCTGTGACCTGTTCCTTTCGTAGTGCAAGGACGATAGATGTCTGATAAAAAAGAAGGAGCAAACCACACCAGAGCACCCGCCAACCGCCCGTCTCTGGTCCCATCCTGGTGACAAAAGCAGACGAAAATAATAGCAAAGGAACTGGGCCTTTACGTTACAAGTGTACATAGTACATGCAACACAAGATAGTTGAACAATTTCAAAAAGAGACACGGCCCACTCAAATAGCTGTGTATAGCGAAACTGCTACAGTAAATTGGTTACAGTGATTCATTTTCCGACCATTTCATTGTGTCGTCACTGTTGTTTCCATAAATATTATTTGATTCTCTTCATATCATAACGTGGGTGATTGACGGGTGCTCTAGTGTGCTTTGCTCCTCCTTTGCTATATATCTATCTTCTTATCTCTCTTCCTTTTTTTCGTGTTTATTACTCTCTTGTGACACCTCTTATCTTCGGCACCTATATGACCCTACTTTGTTGCAAGTGCCGTAAAACTCTTACTGAAACAGTCTACAAAATCACTTTTAAAATTTTATGTTTAGTTTCTTCGGTTTACCCGAATCATGAACGCGTCAAACGTATTCGTCAATGCTTGGGATATTTCAGTTATCCGTGCCCGTCTGTATCTTATATTGTCGCCGACATACAGCATTGCAGAAGGGTATGTCAAAATTTCAACAAAATGAAGATCAAAACAATTTGTTGTAGAATTTGGTGAGGCTCGTAGATATAACCCTGTCTCTTTCCTCTTCATAAATTGGTAACGGATTTAAACGAAATGTAGCCTACTTTTTGTATTAACATATTATGCCTGAAATTAAAGCTGTCCCCGTCGGATTATGCGATTGTGCGGCCGCGTTTTTTCGCGTAATTCTGCAACATTTGCATAATTTTGGATTCCCCGCGTTTTTTTTCACTTTTTTCCCCTTTTTCAAGAAACAAAATTAACACCTCGCCATGTCATTAAAGGAAGTAATCAACGTAATAGGTCTCATTTAAGAGATAAGTTGGTTATTTCCCTTGTTTTCAATTCATCAAAATTTCTTCTCATCGCTGATGTTTCATGTTTGACAAGTGTCCCTGGTTTTTGTGATGTCCCAGCATCAGAGTATTCAGAGGTCCAGATGTCCTTTTTTTTTTTTTTTTTACCACTTTCCTTTTCTCTATAGATCTCGGTCTACAGCTGAAAGTTACAGAGATTATATTTTTTGGTAGTTTTTTTTTTCTGACTGAAGTGTATTGCTTGTTTTCTTTCCAAATACCTGTCCCCGTGGTTTAATATTTAAAAAATTCTGAAATTATGCAAACTGAGCCCAAAAATGAGAAATTAGGCGATTTTCTTAATTTTAACAAACAATGATTTTAAGGAAAATAATCAGAAATTATGCAAAAAATGATCAAATTTTGCTAAATTATGCGGGGTGCATAAAACCACGGGGACATGTCGCAGAAATACACAACAAATTACTGATACAGATATGTTGTTTTCAATTTCTTTTGTACATAAAACATGAAAATTCTTGTTGAAAAAGTGCAAAACATGTCGCGAATGGTGTTACGGTAACTTGCATAATTTTTGCAATTTTTTGGCATAATTTGGCGATCTAAATTTGCATAATTCTGCCGGGACAGTTAAAGTTGCTTCTCCTGAAAAACCTCGGATTTCGACACACGACAATAATGAATGACGGCCACGACATAAATTTCAAGCTGATAATAATCGAAATTTCAACCTATTTGACAACTCACCTTGATCTATAAAAAGTCAAAATAAATATCTGCCTTGAGATAACAAGAAGACCTACATCTACGTGGTACATGTATATTATTTTCTGATGCTCTCTCGCTTTCTTTCAGCATCAAGCATGCTGAGGCATTGTCACCACTTGGAAAGAGTCGGAGTGAGACTCGCAATGTGAATGAACTTCGATGCTACCCACAGGAGTTAAGTAATTATGTTGCTCAATAAATAAATGTGGAAATGTTTCTAATCGACCCATACAGATTTTTCTTCTTTCCTTGTGAAAAATATCAAGTATGTGTATGCACGCATTTTTTTCCAGTGACTGTGTTCAAAGGAAAATTGCACGGACTTAGACTACTAACCAAACAAGGAGAGCAGACAACGTTTACTGCCATCAAATGTGTTAATCTATTCCGTTCTCAGAAGTGCACGATCAAGGTCGAGGGTCTAGCCTCTTGACCCTATCCGTACGTCGTGTCTTACCATCGTATCCATACGACGTGGGAAACTGTGTGCCATCACATTCCGAAGACGAAATTTACTCGTTAATCCGATCCGTACGCTTTGCATAGCAGTCTGTCAAAATGAATTTTAGAGAAATACTGAAAGTTTCAAAGAGATCTTCGTACACAAGAAGTATTCTAAAATGTGAAGAATACAACCCCGGGGGTACAAAATGCCCCCAGGGCGTACGGATAGGGTTAAATAACCTAAGTGTTGGATGGGGTGTTAAACCTACACAATGTCACTTTTTCAAAAATTACACCAGCAGTACAAACAAGCTCAGGATGCTTATTTTTTGTTACATAAACCAGAGGTGCCAACAGGAAAAAAAACAACACCCAGAGCTTGTCGGACTCATGGAAAGGAGTCAGCAGGGCCTCGAATTTCACTGATCATTTCATCTATTGCATCTCGTATCCTGACTGATACAATAATAATATTCAAATTGCAACAACTTCTCAAAGATCAGCCTATAAGCAGGCAAAATCCGGACAAATTCAGGAATCTGCTTACCTGATTTATCCAGAAATTTGGCACCTCTGATAAACCATCAGACTGATAGTATGGGAGAAGTCAGGTCAGGGAGCAAATAAAGAAAAAAGTGACACCAAACAAGCAGTAGAAGGCAGACAACACAACAGCCACTATAAACAAAACAAATCCTGCTATTTTAAAAAAATGAGTCCAGTTTACCCATCAATCAATCAAACACTTTTCGTTCAAAAACCACCAGCAGAGAAAAAAAAACAACAAAAAAACAGCACTTTTTGAAGGTATCAAGATTTACTTACAATCATCATTGTATGTTAATCACAATAAAGTATAACCGTCATGGCAGTGGTGCAGACAAACGCACGGACACATAAAACGGGGGGAAAGAGTAGACGAGGGGGGAGTTGAGAGAGGAGGGGGTCTTTTCTGAACCAATAGGCCATGCCTGCAGGACTGAACGAGAGATTACCAGAACACATTATGCTAACACATCATCATCATCATAAAGGGTATGTACAATTCATGAGCATGTGTAAAGTGTATGTTGACAAAGGTAGAGAGCAAAAAAATTACAGAGGGAACAGCTCTCAACTACCAATGGAGACAAACAAAAAGAAGAAGAAAAAAAAAAAACATGTCCAAGCCGCCAGTCGGGAAAATCCTACACTACAGCCTGTACAACCACACAAAATATGGATACATGTACATCATTGTAAGTTATGTGTTCCTGGGAACCAAAAAAAACAAAACATGGAGTAACATTCATCACAGCTGTACAGCAGATTTCTGTACCACTATGTAGTCTGCATGGGTCAGGCTTTCAATACTTAACAAGCAGAGCCCTTGTAGTAACCACCAACAATCTTGTACAAGGAAAGCTCTCCTACCTACAGGTTTCACACATTACAAGGACTACTACAACAAAGCTTCAGAGACTATACCACCACACATTGTACAGAAGTTACCTGTTACAGTAACAATCTCATGAAATGAGACAGCTATAGGGAAAGGAAGGTGGAATCTCAATTACTGCCACTCAAGTGCAATAACCCCCTGACCGACTCCAGTAATTGTCCCAAAACATCTTACTTTCACCAATTTTCTGCAACTATTTAAAGCCACTTTTTCCCCCCGCACTTAACATTTTCTTTTAATGCTGTTGAAAGTATAAAAGTTCAGTACACAAAGAACTGTAAAGATACACAGCTTTCATCACATTCCAAATCTGGACTACAGTCCTACATGAGTTAAATCACTGTGCAAGAAATACAGATGGACCTACAAGAAAGTGTCCAAACATGTGTAGCATGAGCAACAGACAAAACACATCTAATGAAACCAACAGGTGAGAAGGTACATATTCAGTCAATTATATTTTTACATTAAGGGACGAAGCAGAAATAAACAACCAAAATTAAACAACCATATGTGCATTATATGTTATAGTAGCTTACACAGATGGCATAAAACCCCATGAACATTATGCTGCCTTTCTAGCATCTAATTATTAGTCACTATACCCATCACTTGGGAAACTGAAGCAAGCCCAGCCATGACGTGCCACAAGTAAAGCACATATGCACGCTCCATGCAAATCCAACCCAAACAACAAAACAAGAAAGTGTTCTCCGGAGCACTTTTTGTATAAACAATCTTCTCCCCAGGTGGTAAGATCACAAGGTGAGCCGATTGACAAACAGTGAGAATCTGCTCAGCTCTTTCAATGTCTGGGTTGTACGTCCCGTATGTGCACTGACAGACTGCCTGTCACATGGAGAACAAGCCTTCACAAAATGCACAAGGGAGATTACTAGAGCACAGAAACGATCGGTCAAGTCTCTACCGAATTCTGTACCTTTGGCAGGAATAAAGCCAATGAAGAATTACAATAATTTTTTTTAAACCAAAAAAAAAAGAAAAAAAAAATTCACAGGAGATTCTGGCCAGGCGGGTTCAAGCTCAAACCCATGAGAAAGAACCTCGCCATTCTCAAAGCATTGTGGACAGTCAGCATGTTCTGCCACTATGCTCTGGACAAGCTTGTCAAACTTCACAAATATCTCTTAGTTGCAATTTCATAATAGTAGTTAAATGGGAAAAAAAAAACATAATTGTGAAGATGATGTGAAGACTTCACTGTTACAATTATAGAGTTCTTGCTCTCCTATAAAAAAAAACTTGAAAAGAAAGATCCCCACTATTCTAAGCCTATTAACTATGAAAACGAGCCTAGGAGTATCAGTGGTGGAACAGCATGTGCTGAGAGCAAGGAGGAGTACCATCTTCAAACTCAACCTTCATCTCTGGGACATTGTATAAATCACATAATCTACCAAAATTCACAGGATATTCATACGAGGCTGACCACAATTAAACAAGTCTGAGAATGAAAAAAATGTCCATTTAGTCAGTCGTTATAAAGGTGAGAAATAGGTTACCAGAACAACTCCAACACTACACATTGAGTAAGTGTAAAAGTAACATTAAGTAAATAGAGTGTAATGCTTGACAAACTGATGGGGCAAAAAGAAACAGGTATGACAGAGGAAACCTACATGAAGAGAATGCTACCTTTATGAACTATGTACAAATGAGTTCAAACAATTTCAACAAAGAAGTAAAATTTAGTAGGTAAGTTCACAGGCTCAGAACCAACAGAAACCAAGGTAACAGGTATGTACATATGATATCAAAGGTCAACATTTACCATCATGTTTGTTTTTCTTGCATAGGAAAGTCCAACATCTGCTCACAGCATTACATTACAATGATGATAGGAAAAGAGAGAAAGAAAAGTGATAGAAAGGTAGAAGGGAATCCCCTTTTTTAGATGAACCAATGTAAGCAAGGTGGGTATCATTTCGTTTCAAAAGCCACATGCTCACTAATCACACAGATGTCAAGATGAAATGGGTAATGCAAACAGTTCAGGTTCACGCGATGTGATGATAGCACACCAAGCGCAGAAAATGAATTTTATACCAATTTCAACAGATGTTACAATGAAGCTGTCACGGCTATAAGAACTTCATTTGGATTTGATTTTGTTATTGTTTCACAGCTGGGTTTTTTGTCAAACAAGCGTGATATTTCATTTTCTTCTTCTTAGTAGAGGGTTTTATGGCGCTCGCAACTGCATACGGTCATATGAGCGCCAAGGGGTGGGTGTCAACAGAGAGGTCTTTACAAGGAATCAGACTTACTCTGCTCACCTCTCTGGCTTATTTAATTTTGGCATTACGAAAAGGTTAAACTGACACTCAATACCTCAAGGGCGAAAGCAAAATGTAAACGTTCCGGAAAGAAAGAAAAAAGAACATGACAACCCAGATAAGACACAAACAAAAAGAAAACTCATATTGTAAATGTCTTCTTTATAAACATGCCTTGTAATCTTGAAATGATTCAATCACAAGAAACCTACTTACAATTCACTTCACAATTGGTGGGGGGGGGAAATCACCAGTTTGCAAGCATGATGCACACAACAAGGACAAAAACTTTACAAGAACCTGTTTGGATAAAATTAAAGTCCAAACAAAATTCCCAGGTGTATAAATGAAATACCACCTAGGTTCATCAAACCTTGGAAAGAGATATTTTTCACACTGAAACAAGAGAGCGATTTTCTTTTTTTCAGACAAAAATAAATCACGGAGTAAATGAAAGCTCTATCAGCTTCGGAAGAAACACAGCATATTGCTTCGAAAACCATACATTTGAAAGCTTAAAGTAAACACATCAAAATGATAAAAATTTTAATCATACTTCTGTTCAAAACTTCCACAAATCAATGTGAAAAGTACACTTTACTTTAGTAAAGACAGTAAGCTTTCCAAACAACATGCACACATACCCATGCCAGATGTCTGTGCCATGTAAAATCAGTGATTTATACAAATTAATTAATAGTTTCCCAAGGGACAGTGTGGGTGTTTTGAAAATCAACAACCCCAAAAAGTAAGAATATTGATTTGTTTCCATTCAGTATAAAAATTTCTAGAGCTTCATCTAAGAATAAATATGAAAATGTAAGAGACAAACTAAATTGTAAAATTAAAAGGTATAGGCCCCTACTGTCCCTTGTCCTCAATTTTTTTTTTTAACAAAAAAAGATATATCTTCACATTTTTTAAACTCACTTTATCAAAAATGTGCATGTGACTTTCATAACGTATTCTTAGTGTTTCGTAAAATTGTTTTGGAGATTAATAGTTTAGATTTTTTTATTTTTGGGGGGGAGTTGTCCTCTTTTCTCCCCTACATGAAGGTTACCAAGAAATTACTGATTAAGATAACTGCTAATACATTTGGCAACAGATTTGTATTGTGCTATTCAAAGTTGTCAGAAATATTCATTGAGATTGCTTCAGACACACAAGTCTATCCACCTTCTCTCTTCTCCTTACTTTGAGTGTACTAATACGTAATATAACATGTGCATGACAATATCCTAGAATTTTACAAAAAGATTTTTCTTTCAATTATTGTCCATTGACGTACACCATACACTGAATACTAAAACTGATGGAAGAGATTTTTATTTTACAACATATTTTTTTCCACCCGCAATGTCTTTTAACAGTACAAGACTTCCTTTAGTGACCACTATACAATGCGTATAAATACACAGGCAACAAAATTTACTGAAATACTAGAACTACCCATCGATACTTTCTTTGAAATCTGTCTACTCATGACATAAGCTTCATCAAAGCAGACAGAAAGGCTGACAGGGAACAAACAACAACTATTTGAAAGAGCATTTTTTTTAAAACTATTTTTCAACCAAGAGAAAACCAAGCACTTGTGAGCTATTTCATTTTACCCTCCTTTGAAAACGCTGAATTGTCAAGCATAATACCTGTTAAGTTCATCTAAGTACAAGTTTGTCACCACAGAAAAGTTCTTCGACTTCAGAATATAAGGTACCATCATCATCCTGAAGGATTTTACAAATTCCAAAGCTCTTTTACCCAACTCCTGTTTCGATATTAGACTTTGAACCATCACGAGAAGGAGGGTGCATCATTCAGACACAAAGAAAATATTACAATGGTAAGTAACTCTACACCATTAGCACTCAATAGCATAAACGCTGACCGGTGGGAGTAAAGAGCTTCACCATGCTACACCAGTAGTAATTCTGCTTTTTAAAAAATCTAAATGATATGCCAAAGCACGGGAGCAACAGGCTCCAAAATTCAAACAACTTTCTTCTGAACAAAAAAACATGACCAAAATAAATCGAAAGCCCATTGTATGTGGTATGCCGATATCGGGAAAAGTATGGTACAATTACTACCTTCATATACAAAAATAGGAGTAAATAAATTATCCCGGTTTGGATCAGCATGTCCATTTAGTTTTTAAACCATATAACTGTTGGAAAAAATGCAAGCAAAAATAAATGAAGAACGAGGGAAAAAAGCACAACCAGTTCAGGGTGTAAAATGATATTGTCTTATTATATAGAAACACAATATCTCATTCCAACATCACTATAATTTACAATTTCAGGGTAAGTCTTTGGTTACTGAAGTCCATGCTTTCCAAAACACAGCAAACAATTTATGTACCTGCTGAATATGAGAATAATAATTGTTTTAGGGGCGGAACCAGTTTTGTTTTTTGGGTTTTTTTGGGGGGATGGGGGGGTTGCCAATCTCCAGTATGTAAAAAGTCATAATAGCAAATTGATTGTGAATATTCACAAAGAAAAAAAAGTGTTTACATCAGCCTAGTGCAGAAGTGCACCTTTCATTCAGTTTACAAAATGAAACTTCACTATCTCACAGGATCTAGCAACTTCTGTCCACATCATGTTTTTATATGAGCTATCCCACGAGAAGCTGAAATCATGGTAATACAGAAAACTATTCCATTATAATGTATTCCACTTGACATATGCAAGAGTATGTGCAAACAACAGATCATTCCCATATTTGCAACAAAAAGACAACACTGTGCTGACAGCAGCTGTGAAATCAAAAGGGGAAGAGACCCACATAAAGATCTATTCTAAAACTGTTAAGTTACAGCTTATTGTAAACTTCAAATCGCTTTCAGTCATCAGGATTCCTACACCTAGACTAGTACTCCTTTCCACAAATAAACTGAGAGTCCTAGCTTTAAAGAAAAGTAATGTTCACCACAAAACTTTGTCACGTTTTCTTGCAACCAGTAGCAACCTCACAGTCCCAACCAGCAAAATTAAACAAACACACCACATGTGTATGGCAAGTCGATCAAGTTATCCATAAATATTACACCAAAGTACAAACACCAGGCCTTAAAATAAGGTCTTACACCGTAGCAGCAAAGCATTATTTAATAAAAATAGTTATTAGCTGAGCTGTGATTGTCACTTGGAACCAAAAATAAATACACAGCTGAAAACATAGAACACTTGCAAACAGATATACGGACGTGTGCTTATGGAATAATAATATACCTAACACTTGAAAATACATTGATCTGAAACTTTCAGCCACGTACAACATTTTTAGCATGTCTGCCATCAGTTATTGTTACGACTACATTACAAAACAAAGCTGCACATTATTTCCTAAAATTGTATGCTATGCAAAAGCAAAAATAAGAACAGTATCGGTAGTCTGGAACACTTGTTAACTTTTTTCACAAAATTTTGTTGAAGCAAAAACGAACACTCATATCTCCTAAAAATAAAAGAAGAAAAAAAAAATGTCAATCCACATCTACAGGGAATAATTATGCATGTCAAAAAATGACAATAACTGTCAGGAACACTTTTTTTCACAGGTGGCAGAAAATTTCATCTAATGTTATATAATTTTCTGACAGTGCAGAGTCTAAAGATACAAGAGCAAAAAAAAGCAAGACACAGAGACAACGCAATTGTCTCAAGCGTTTACAATATTGCAGAAGTGAACCATTGTTCTAAGAGTTTTCAGTCTTATACAATGAGTGCACTGTTTGATACTCATTTTTCCAATGAAATTGCTAAATTGATGACAGCAACTGCATAAATGCTATGATCCGATGAACCTCTTTTGGAAAACTAGTTAAAAAATATTAAATTACCAAATTTTTGCCCTGATTTATTCATCATCAAACAAAAGGCAGTTGCCTTTTTTTACTAGCTATTAGGTGGTCAGTGAAGACAAAATAAATGCTAGGTTCTCCCTGACTTCATTTAAGAAAGAAGAAAACAGCCATACACTGAGCCATGACTGAAATAGAGATAGATAACTGCTTCTTGTCTAACACACCTACTGATCCATCTCCACCACATATAGAAATGTTCTAATATTTGTAAGGTCCAGCTATAATTCTAACATAATCTTATGTGCCTCTCAATTTATCAAAATGCTTTCAAAAGATTAACACCCTCAAAATAGTTCTGTTAATACAAGATAACTAACTATATTTACCACTCAGTTATTCTACCAAGAAAAAATATTTGTAAATGCTCTACTATTCATGTCAAATATAAACCATTCAGTCATAATGTCAACCATGTTGCCATTTTTCAAAACTGAGTTTGTTTCTCTTTGCATTATCTCAGAAACTAAAGAATACGCAAACAAAATCTTGCACAGATTCATTCAAGAAAAAAATGAGAGCATTATACTTAAGCTGAAATTTTTTTATCTGTTCCTTTTTGAGAAAACAGATGTTAAAATTTAATAGCACGACATCTTATCATCAGAAACATAATATCATTTGAATCTGATTGTAATATTTTTCACAGAAAGAAAAATCACACAAAGAGATTGAAATAGTCAAACTGAGTGAAGCAACTGACCATGGTTATTTTGGGCTCTTGCGCATGGAAAAGGTCTACAACATGTTAGAAAAAATTGTTCACAAATGTGATTGTTACAGCAGCCAACTCGTCTTTGGTAAAGAGCCTTGATTATAGAAAAAGCCATGTTTCAACAGAACCCTATACAATTCAGCAACAATCCTTTAAGGGATGCCACAGATTATAAACTTCCCCATTTCAGCTATCTTGACCTGTAGATACACGTACTCACGTACTCCCCAGTTGGAAAAATAATTCCAAAAATCTGCGACAATTAAGACAAACACAAACATTAAATGTACGACTTTTTATATGAACAAAAGGAACCTAGGGACAGTGATTTCTCGTTGACGTCACACTAATTATTAATACTAGAAGCCCCAACCTAAAACTGACATAAGCACCCTAATAATAAATCATGCCGATGTGATCGAAAAACTAAGACCAACAAAAAAAAAGTAAGAGAATATTTCATTTGTCTAGAGGCTCATATTTACAATAAAACATTACACAATACAACAGGAAAGAAAAGTGTTGTTTACTCATTTGAATCAAAGACAGGCACACTGACACAACCTGGTCACACAGAGCTAGGAAAAGGATGACAGACAGGAATGACACAGATAGCACAAAAAGAGGAGATTTCATAGAAGCTCTCAGACCACTTATCAGATAAAACTGACAGATTAGAGAGCCCACTCAAAAGATCAATTTGACATCAGTTTGCGAAAGCTGTTCCTCAATGTTTGAGACTATCAGCACTAAAATTAAAAATATGGTACTTACACTCAAGATGATACAAAATCTTGTAAGTAGAACATAATCTCAGAGAAGAAATGTCATTGCTTCATCAAAACTTTAACCCACCGAATCCTTTCCTATCATTCCTTCCTTCTAATCCCACCCACCCCCTTCAGAATATGAGCCCCTCAGGTAAACACCTCTGCACACTGAGGTGAGCCTTTGACAAACTGAGGGTAAAATTAGCCACACACATGTGTACGCTCAGGTCTATTGGGTGAACAGTGTATTGGGAACTGTGAAGTTTATTCATAAACTCAAACCTCAACATTTATCCAGAGCTTTTTAACTGTGTCCTTAAATACTAAAGGCATCGCAAGAAGCGCAATTTCTTTTATATCTCAGTTGCTATTGCGTTGCTGTTACCTATGATAACATGGCATGGGGAAACCGATTTTCATGACTGTATATGCAAGTGTGAGAGGAAAGCAAATAATTATATTCACTAAATTGAGGACCCAAATGCTGACATACATAAACAACAAACACTGGAGATGTCTTAAATATTGCAATTCTAAAAAGACAATCTGACCCATCACTATGAGATGCCATCACCTTTGTTCACCTTTCACCTTCAAAGCTATGTAAGACAAATGGCTACTCAAAACGAACCAAATACATGCAATTCATCAAACCTAACATTTGCTGCAGTGAACTGTTGCTTGCCCACAAGCAGAAATCCCTTGCAATAACATGCTACTGATATGCACCAATAAACAGTAAATGTGAGCTGGACGACTTTTCTCTGCATCTTCAATAATTAAATCAAGGAGTGATTGCCCTCTCGTGGATGTTTTCCAAGCACCTAATTACAACATTCAAGTGCCCTAAAGTCAGTAGTTGCAAACACAAGCAGCACCATACTCAGTATTGTATTATGTACAAATATTTGCACCCGTCTAAGAGAACTACTGTGGTTATCAGAAAAAAAGGTAACACAAGGTGGTCAGAGGCTAATGGACGCACACCATGGCAAAAAGTGATCATCAAACCTTCGCGAAATATCAGTTCATGTACAAAGAACTTCCATGATTACTAGCACTCATTTTCCCAAACCTTTACCGCACAACATAGTTCAACATATCGTCGCCTCAGAACCACTCTGTCCAAAGTGCCCTCTTTAAATAAGTACACTTTGGACAAAATAGTTCTGAGGCGACGATATTCAGTACATTACAAACTTTTGTCATTTGACAGGTTTTTTCCTGACTCTCTTCCCTTCATCAAGAAGATATGTGAGATCAATCCTTTGTTTCCCGGGGACACTATTCAACAGCTTCAGCATAATCTTGTCCAAGTTTTTCTTTTTTTGCTTGACCTGTTCCAAAGAAAAGACAAAGCAGAATATAAGTAAACATTGACAAGCTACCAGCTATAGCTTTCTCAGAAACAGACAGATCCGGCAAACGGAAACCGAAGTATGATTTCTACCAAATTTCAGACATATGGAAATTTCTTTTTTAAAAAGAACATTTCTTGACATTCTGTACATTATGGACAACAACAACAACAAACGGAAATAGATCAAAGTTATGAAAAGATTAATCGTAAAGACAACAAAAAACTAATGCTTCTGTCCTGAACTGAGAAAAAAGCACAAAACATAATCTTCATTCTCCTTTTCTACCATGTAGCAAAAGCCATTTGTTCAGGCAGGTTTTAATGAGCAGAAGATCACTCACACAATAATAGCCATTATCAGTCTCTTTAAGGGCAAGGAACCTTAAAACCCTCTTCCTTATAAAACTTTGGCATTGTTACCCTTCTCAATAATTTTCATATGATCACCAAAAAGATGGCCCACAGTACGACTACCAAAAAGAGACCACAACACTGCATTAACTACTATTGAATAGAAGGAACAAGACAAAAGCCATACCATGATGGTATTACCTTTGTTTTCCACAGCGCATGAAACTTGTACTTACCTTGTCTTGCTGTATCTTCAGCAAAGTGTCACGGTCCATAGGGGGTTGACACAGTTGCACCCTGACCGGCCGGACTCCTTCTACTTTGTGGGCTCCGCCTTTTTTAACTGTTACCTTGACTTCAGCTTTCAGTTTGAGATCATTCTTGATGCTCTCGTCCACCTTGAGCTTGCTGTGGAGAAGGGCTTGGGTTTTCACCGTCTTCTGAGTCTCTAATTTGTCCTCAGACTTGAAACTTTCCATCCTGGAAGGATTCACTGCTGCCATGTTGCGCTCTGCCCTGCGCTTATATTCTTCTGGAACTTCATGTGGCTATGGGGGAAAAAGACAAAATTATTTTTAACCAAACATGGCAGGCAAACAATCAATATACAAACATTGTAAACTTGATATCTTGTGCAATCAAAACATAGTATCGGTATAGTTGAGAATCATCAGTGAATAATCTAAAATAATAGAAAAGTTATGGCTCTTGCAACAGTGTAAAAAAAAAGCATTCGACTGCCTTACGTATCATTCATCATATGTGTCACAATGTGGTGGAATCAGGGGCTCGTCAATTTTTTTGGCATGTGGAATTATTGGAATCATCTTAAAGCCTGTTTATATGGCTTTGTTTTCAATGGAAAAAATACCCATCCATTGTGAATACAATTCAGGATATTTGCGATTGAAGGAGGTGGGGGGGTCGCCAGGTTTGAGAGGTAAAATTAGCGAGAAAATGGCTGCCAAAGTTTTGTTATTTCCATAGCTTGAAAGTCCTTGGAGACTGCAGATATACATTCATTGAAACTTAAATCAACGTTTTTCAGTAAAATTTACACATAAATGTTATAAAACGATCTCAAAGGCTTTGAATAAAAAATAAAAAATTCAATAAAAATTGCCACTGTCTGGAAAATGCCATTTTCTTCATTTCATTATTTTGACAAGCGCCTGATTTCATCCCGATGCTTCACATATTCTTTAATAGAAAAATTGGGGTTTTTTTCCCATTTCTTCAATTTTATTAATAATAATAATTTTAAAAACCCTACAAAGTACACATTAACACTGCTTCATAAATGGACTCCAATCTGATATAAAAAAACATAGTATTTTTAAAACACAACATAACTTTCAAGCTTTTTCTCAAAACATTAAGATATACTTACAGAATAAGTTCGTTTTATGCTCAATTTTGTTTCAAACCAATCGAAACAAAATTTCCCTGTATTGATAGGATACCTGAGGGAAAAAAAATTATAAAAGTAACTGCAGTTCAGTATCCACTGCACAATCAATTCAAAACTTTTCCTGAAAACAGAAAAGAGGGCTGACAAAAAGCAGGAACAATGGTGTACATTTTTATGTTTTCAAGAAATAATTTTACAGTCTACTATAGCAGCAAAATTCAGCATACAGCAAACCGCACCTGTCCCACCCCCTTCCCTTTTTGCATCTGTTATTAAACATATATTTTACTCAAAAATTCAAATAAAAATGGCACTATTCACTAGTATCCGAGGTGTGGCACTTAAGTGCTTAACCATAGCACACAGAAGACATGAGCTTGATTCCCCTGTGTGGAAAATTTTCATCAAGTACCTCCGTCCTTGTTTTAGTAAGGTTTTATGGCACTTGCAACTGCATAAGGTCACATGAGCGCCAGGGGGTGGATGTCAACAGAGAAGTCCAATCGGGGAATCAGGCTTACTCTGCTCATCTCTCGAGCCTGAACAGCACAAAGTCTGCATCGACTCTCAAGGCACTCCGGAAATAGTAGTTCACAAGAGAGTGACAAACATACAAAAGAAGTAGTGGAAAAATGACAATAGTAAGGATGAGGAAGGAAAAAGCAGCAGTTACCCCTGAATCAGCACATTTACAATTCTACTTTGCATAACAACATGTTAATATCCCCCCTTTTGGAATGGCCTAAAGACAACTTCAGTCAGTAGCACTGCCCTGGGGGGGGGGGGGGGGTGTAACACCTCTATCTGCATGCCACAGCTTTGTAACCTTTTCAATCTGGGTTGGCACTGACCAGAAGGGTCAAAGCTGCCCGCTTCCTAAATTATGTAAATAGTGTCAATGGGGGCATAAAAACATCTACAATCACAGTTCAGCACTTTTCCATTTTGACAGCAAACTGTATCGGAAACAGATCCGACATAACCAACATTCTCAAAAATCAGAACTAGAGAAATAACCATATCCATGAAAATACTTAGCCCATTAAAGACCCTTCATTGACAGAATGGCCTAAAAAGAGAAATGGGCCTTCTACTAATCAAGCAAACTTACCAGATCTTTTGAATCTTATGAAAGAGATGTGCTGTCTTGTCAACACGATATTCACAGATGTAGACATCCTGTTCCTTCACCCCTTTAGGCCTGCCCTTGCTGAAAGTGTTTGGATCCATCACTACACATTTTCCCATCACTAGGTCCATAGGGATGATCTCAAAGTTAGGAGTGCGAAACAGCTGAAATCAAGGGAAAAGATATTCAGTAAAAGACAATTAAACTTTATATAAATATTTGAAAAGCTACTTTAAACATCAATCTCTTTAGATTTCTATCGGCTTTTAGTCTCTCAATCTAATCTTCAGGGTGTATCTGTCGCTTCAAAGACTTGTGCTTCACAAAAGCAAACCCAGCCAAATAATTGAATCGTTTATTAAAAGGAAACCCGTTTATAAAAGACAGCTGCACAACTTAACTGAAACTGCATCAAAATTTTACTTAAAAAAGCTACTACAGCATATAATATTCATAAAATGTAACCTAAAGAAGGTCAATCTTGACATACTAATACCCAAGACAAAAGTGAAAATATCTGATCAAGTAAAACAATCTAACATAATACAAAAATAATTCAATGAAATTCTATGACAAAAGACTCCTGAGATGTCCTCCATCCTAAAAGATCTAAAGAAGTACATTATCACAGCTCACCTCATTATGATAAAACTTTCTTGTAGGTTCATGAAAGGTTTCTTGCGGCCTCAAATATGGTGTGCCACTGGCAAACCTTTCACCTCTGAAATTAAAAAACAGTGCACAATTTACAATTTCCAGTTCTATCAATTTCCATCAAATGTAAGAGAAAGTAGTCTGCTGAAACACTGCATAGAAGGCTGCTGAAACACTGCTTAGAAGGCTGCTGAAACACTGCTTAGAAGGCTACTGAAACTAACAAGTTAGAAAGTTTCCAAGAGCACAAAGAAATAATATATAAGAAAAACTCGCTGTGTTCATATGCCTGATAGTAATGACTCAAAAAGCACAGATTCTTTAAGAATAAGTGCAGACATTACATATTGCTGGAACAGGTCTTAACCTATGAACCTATTTCTTTATTGACATCACATAAAACAGATAGAGAATAGAACCATGTCTGAAGAAAAGGTAAGACTTAATGGAACTCAATTTTTGTTTCAAAAATTGATTTTTGACCTTTATTGCCCTGTTACTCAGTCTTGAGGTTCCTTTCTACACACACACACATGCAATGAAAGGGGCAAAAAGGTACACAAATTTACATGGACAAATGAAATCATCCTGCACAGACATACATGCATCTATCATTTACACTAGCTTCTGGAACATCAGCAGGTGAAACCTGAGCCTCTCTGTTGAATTGGTCCTTTTATTTAGTACAAAATACACTCAGCACACACAATTTTACTATTCATGATCCAAAACTGATAGGCAAAAAAACCCGCTGACAGAAAACGATGAGGAGGGACCTGAACACCTCTGCCGAAAAAAAGTTTAAAGCACTAAAGTAGTGTTCCATTAAGAGTGCACAACTTACTTTGGGTCTTTCCAGAGCTGTTCCAGCCTAAAGATATCCAGCTTGTCTGGGTTCACAGAGGCCATCAGCCGATGTGACGAGCGCAGTGGGGTTCCCGTAGCTGTCCGCTTGCAGTCCCGCATTACATAGACACAGTCGCCCACAGCATATTGGACATCATCCTTCACCAGGGTCATGTAGTGGGTACAGTCAGGCATGGCATCAGTCGGTCGTGGCACCAGTAGAATTTCCTAATGGAAAAGGTCAATATAGAAATGTCAATGGGTAAGAGCTAGGTAAGCTTTTAGCAAAACAGAAAGTGGTAAAAATTGGGAAACCATACTTTGCCCGGAAAATGAAAGTCTTAAAGCCACAATGGAGCTTCATTTCCGGGAACCTTTTTAAGCTAAATTATCAATACTTTCGAAAATAAAAGTGTGCATGTTGAACAAAAAACTTGGAAATAATCTTAACATATTACCGACCAAGACAAGTCCAGATAATTCTAGCACATTCACACAAAATAAACCAAACTCTATCATTCTGAAAGCATTCTGGAGTACAAAGTTATCTTAAGTGAATTACATTTTTTAAATAGCAGTTCAATTTTTTTTAACACCTTAAAAAAGCACAATTATCTTTCAGTTCATAGAACATCATTAACACTAAAACAATGCAAGAACTTCTTTTAAAAAGAAATTGTACTTAAAAACTTACTGGATCATAATATCTTGGTTCACAACGATCACACAAATAATGTTCTTCTTTTCCACTGGCCTGGACACAATCACAATGTTGCCATCTCTGGAGAATAAAAAGAAAAGTAAACATATTGAATGAATGACAAATTGAAGGAAATAAATCAAAATTTGACCTACTATGACAGCTTTGTTCCACGAAAAAAAAATTTTTTTAATGTAACGTAAAGATAACATCAAACCTCATCAACATATTTTTTTCGAAGAGAATCTATACTACTGGACTATTGTTATTCTGAATAATAAAAAGTTAGAACTGTCTCAAAAAAGAATGCAGCAGCAGAGAACATTGTATACCCCATCTTGTCCTTTCATTTGATAATCATACGTACCATACATTTCTCACACTGCAACATTAGTCCTTCGTCTCTTGTTACTCCACAAATGCACCTTATTATGTCTTCCTCAGGCTCAGCTGGCACTGCAGAGAAAACCAAAATACATTTCTTAGCTTTCACAGAATGCACACTATTATGAAACCAGTCACATGATGATGTATAACAGTAATGATGTTCTTCCCAGAGATTAACTCAAAAATACAAAATTTATATGAAAAAAAGTCCCTAAAATATTTCCTTGAAATTACTTTATGACATCACATTTTAAACTGAAGACAATTTAAATTCTTCATGCAGCTTGCTGTGCTACATGCTAAATTACAACAAAGATTAAACCCTCCAGTTCACATTAAAGATAAAACACATCTCAAATAAACAATGTGAAAAATTGGTCATATCTTTCGAGAAAGGCACAGGAATATAGCTGGCTATTTTGTTGATTTCTCAACTCTAAAATATCAAGAGTAATCTGTCTCTACAAAGAAAAAGCAGAACAAAGTTTAAAGCATCAGAATATCATTCACTACCTAAATAGAGCAATTATCCACAGTATTCTTCAAATCTTTAATCGTCTACAATTCCAGTAGCATATGGCTAGGTTTTAGTTTCTAAGCCTGTCTGATTTTATCCGACTTTTCCTCATCCTTAACGTTTCTTTCTACAGCCTCCTCTCCTTCCTCTTTTCCTTGCTACCTTTTTAGGCGAAAATGCTGGGAGAGTCGTCAAGGGACCACGATCTCCGTAGCTCCCGCACTTATGGACATGTCCGGTGTGCAATGATGTTGTTGCCCAGGACAGGTAATACAGGTAACAGGTAATTCAACAAATCATATCTATCCTAAGTGCTCAGCATACCATGCTTATAGACACAGGTTTAAAATATTTAAAAGCTGTTACTTTGGTCCTAACAAAGTTTTGCCACCCCGCTACTTGAAAGAGATAGAGCCTGTCCTTACAGGAGGCTTGCTCCAGCTTCTCCAACTCTGTGTCCATGCACATCTTGGTGGTGTTGGGCCCCAGCAGCTCGTCTATCTGAGGTGCCACGTCGTGCTTCACACAATTGAAGATCCGCCTTAACTTCAGGATGATCTGACCCAGGTCAGACTTGGGCCCACAATAAAGCTGTAAGATTTTAATAGAAAAAATTCTTTACAGAACAGTTTCAGCTTACTCTTTCAACAACAAAAAATCGTATTACTTGAATCTACACATTTACAACCAAATTGATGCTTTTTTGATTAATTGATTCAATAAATATGCTGCTGTACTGCTATTATCTAATCATAGTATAACAAACCTTTGTCTTTGAAGACACACTGCAACAAACAAATAAAACAAAGCAGATACTGAGAATGATCATTACAATAAGTTTTCATTCCCAAAACCATGGCAAATTATTTTGAGCAATTGTCAGAGACACAGTAACTTCTTCTCTAAACTTTAACTACAAGTCAAAATACATTATCTTCTCTGAGAAAGCTAGTGTTCAACTCATTTACAGAAAATTTTAAAAACTGAAACCCAAAGAGACATAAAACCTTATGGGAAGCGTACATGCTCAGTCTAGTAACTGGTGAGTTGGAGGAATTAAAGCAAAATCAAGATAGCTCCACCATATTCAATACAGAGAGGGATAACCCTGGGAGTCACCAAAGTGCTATTGTAATAATATTTTTTCTGGGACCTCTAAAATATCAAACTTCAGTATAAGTACACCTTAATCAACATGAAAAACAAATTGTCGTCAAAGATCTCTCAGAAGATTGCCACACTGACATGGCGCCATACCTCCACATTGCCGAAGAGCAGCATGACATCTGCATTGAAGGAGCTGAGGTGATCATAGTAGCCAGTCTTCACTCGCTGTTTGATCATAGACATGTCGATTGGTTCTCTGACTACCTGGTAATACTGAGGCTGCTTCTTGCGAGATGGAAGAGACATCAGAGGAGTCACTAGACTGTCTCCATCATCATCTGAAACAAAAACAGTGAAGGATGCTGGGTTGTACGCCACGATTAACCAGATAGAATAATTTCATGCCACCCAAGTGAGGATGATGTAGGTGTTTACTTTTAGTAAAAGTCATACGACACTTGCAATACAATAGGTCATACAAGTGCCGAAGATTTGAGCTGTTACAAGAGAGTAAAAAACACAAAAAAGAAGGAGGGCCGATAAGGACGATAGATGTTGGATAGGAAAAAAAGAGCAAACCACACCAGACCACCCACCAACCACCCACAGAGATGAGGATGAAAGAAAGAACTAAGCAGTTTCAAGTAGCAGCCTATCATAGCCAGCCAGTTAAGAGAGAAAGAGATTGATAGGTAGAGGTTTTACACTCCCATTGACACAATTGAGGTCATTATTAATTGATGGGCTGATGGCCTCTAGGGGCCACCCAAGCTGACTGGGATGCAGCGTCCCACAGACAGACCGAAGTACTTGATATAACTCCCCCAGTCAGGCATTCAATTCTCTTCTTCTGCATGAAACAGTGAAAAGCCTACCCATTTCGCCACCGACACCATTAAGAAAAAGACAGACATCTCAGAGGTTCTTATGAAGCCAAGAGAAAAAAGGTAATGGACAACCACATAAAAAAATTATAGAAAGGTATTTTCTGCAAAAGTCCCCCCCCAAATCAATTATTCAAGATAAGTTGAAGAAGGTTCATCCACAAACTTAAAGAAAAAACAAAGCTCCAGCACTGGGAAAACAACAAAATTTAACTTAAGAACAACTTCACTGAATCTCTTTGAACAGGCTGTAACAGCCATACTCCTGTCACTTGTTTCAATCAATTTATGTTGGAGGGTTATACCCCCATTACGTCAGTGTGACCCTTTGCTAAGTGGCTCTTTGTGTTGTCCACTGAGGACAAAACAACGAATGTCCTGTTCACAGCAAACTCTTCCATCAAACAATTGTCATGTTACTTTGGAGACTTAAGTAAGATAATAGACAGCAATAATAATCCAGAGAAATAGGTCAGACCTACTGGTGGTACCAATGGAGAACGATTAAACTATTAACTACTACAAACCTTTCAGAGACAAAAGCTCTGTCAGCATTTTGTCCATGATCTGAGCTAATCTGTGTCTCCTTGCCATTTCAGGAGTGTCCTTGGCATAAGCAGCAAGCCTGTAAAATATGAGTATAGATGATAACAAATTCAAGGTAAAAAAATTATCTTTCAGAAAGGAAAAAACATATGATACTGCAAAGATTGCAGACATTGGCAACTAATGTTCAAGGAATAGAGCACATTGAGGAACTTAGAGGACAATAGATTGTTATTCATAAAAGTATTCAGTTCTCGCTTGTACTTGTAGTCCTATGGTTCTAAATAAGTACAAACAATTTCAACAGCATTTTCTGGTCTAATAGCACCATTATAATTTTCAGGCACTAAAAATCCTTAGAGAACCAACTGATCTCATCATGTGTAACAAAGCATGAAGCCACAGGCCAAAAATAAAATACTTTATCTCCTTCCCTTCTTCCTCCCCCTCTCTCGCTTTCTGTAAAATTTTGCTTGCATGTTCATAATGCATGTATACGTATATGTGAGCGATCTTGTGCACACACACATAAGCATTCATAATAATTGTGTGTGAAATTTAAAAAACTTTGCGATTCATCTTCATTGAGCTCTGAGACTTGCAATTTGACCACATCATGTCCTTCACACTTTATCAAGCTTTCTGTTACATTTACAATTTCATCTATAGAGACACAAGCAATGCCTGTTGTTTGTCCACAGATCCTACCAATCTTACCTAGTCTTGATCGACCTTTCATTCAGATGAGCAAGCATGAGATCTGGAAAAGGAAAGACACTAGTTTCAGTTCAAACATTCTACTGATGGACGTGCTTTTATTAATTTATCATGACAGAAGGTGCAGTCACTGCCAATTTTCTAAGTAAAAAGAAAACAATTTGACCCCATGGACCAATTTTCAGAAATCCTATGGGAAAAAGTAACAGAAAAATACATAGTCAACATGCGACTGAACAGAGGGGCTACTTACAAATCTTGTCAATTGAAACTCAAGAGACAAAAAATGGATGTGAGCTTTTGACTACGTCTTCAACAAGGACAGTTTTTCTCTTTACATTGATAATATTTATACAATTTAAGCTCTTGATCTTCAGTCCAAAGCCATGTTATAGGGTTGGAAGTCCTTAAAAGTCATCTAGAGCAGCTGAACTGAGAATTAGAAAATTTGCTGTAAAATAATGCCTGAAAAACACACAAATGTCCAAGGAGTGTCTTAACCGCCTCACACGAAGAATTGTGCAAGATTCCCTACCTAATTCCTCGTAAAAGAAAACAATAGCAAAGAACCATACCAGGTGAGAGAGTACCAATATTGCCACAATCCAGGGGATTGACCTCCTCCTTGGCAACAGCAGGCAGGTCCTGCCCAGGGTGCCGCTGGTTGCGAACTTTGTCCACATTCCGTACAAGGAAAGTCCTGTGCTTCCGTGCGTAACAGCGTTCCTTCAAAGTCATGGGTTTTGCCATAGGCAGGACAGGAACATTTTCAGGGGGCTGCATCTGGAAAGATTTGCATGATTGCACTTTCATTATAACCTCCTTTATCAAAGGTGATGTACAGCAGAATACACTTTGGTTACTTTCTTACTCAGGTACAAAGGAATCTTACTTTCAAAGCTATGAAATCACATCATGAAGTACTCATCGAATGAAAAATGATAAATAACCACAGATGTTGAAGTACTAGTCTTACCGGTTCCCAATAAATATTAGTATTTAGATTATAAATAAGCACTGCAAAGGGGACAAGTTGATTAGTCCCAGAGAAAGGTTTTTCTAGCCTAAAAATCGCATTTTGTCAAAATTTCACACAATTCCATTTCCAAAAAAACAATGACCAATCATTTTTACTTGCCTTGAGAGACATTATAATACTGTAAAAAGTGAAATGTACCCATGAACAAACAAGAACCAAAATACAGACACAACTCACAATTCAAAACCCTTTAAATCACCCTCTAACATTTACAGAGAAAGGGTTAAACTTTACCTTATCTTTGGATTTGCGATTCATCACTTTGTTCTTCCTTTTGTCCTTGGAGTCTTCCAAGACTTTCTCAGGTTTATTCATAATACTGTTTGTTCTCTGAGTCTTTCCTCCAATAACTCCTCGGCACTCGGTGCTTCTGCAGCGACATTCTTGCTGTGAAACACAAATTAATTAACCTTTTTAATAATTGAGACTCTTGCAGGAAAAGGCATTTCAATAATTTCATTTAATTTTATAATCGTCATAACAGCAATCCACACTACATCTTCATGAAGGTGTCTTTAAAAAAACTATCTACCCAAAAAATGGGCATTTCTACTACTTATTTAGCTTTACAACCACTCAGCCACACCAAGAGCATAATTTAGACCGTGAATGAAATCTCAACCAGAATTCAGAAAAAAGTGAATGAACACCACAAAGACAGAAAAAAAACAAGTTTGCAATATCATCAAGACTGAGGAAATTGTAAAAACTTCGCAGGAAAGCGCGCTCACCACAGACGCCAAAATAAAGTGCCATATAACAGTCCCTCACTGTGCCTATAGTAGAGAGTAGGCACAACTCTCTGCATTGCACGTTACAGTGCAGCCATGTATTTTGCTTGCTTTAGTAGAGGTTTTACGGCGCTCGCAACTGCATAAGGTCATATGAGTGCCAGAAGATTAGAGGTGTTACAAAGGGAGTAACAAACATAAAAAAGAAGGAGGGGAGATAAAGACGATAGATGTTTGATAGAAAAGAAGGAACAAACCACACCAGAGCACCCGCCAACCACCCACGGCGATGTATTTTACTGCAATGCAAACAAGTCTATGTCAGCCTAGCATCCTGTGGGGGTTTTTTATTGCAAAGTCTAAAATCAAAGTCATCTCTATTCTCATAACAACATATCATATAAATGCAGTTTCTTAATTTTTTAACTTTTGAATCTTAATAAGTTTTCTGCTTATTTTACCTATGCTTGCGTTATTATTATTTCTTTTAGGGGTTATTTCGCGGAGAGAGGCATAATGACAGCACAACATGTAACTAAGCGTGGCTAAAATATAAAGGAAAACAATCCAGACTTTTTTCCAATCCTTGCTCTGATTCCGACGGGCATAGAAATGTTTTCATGCGAGACTCTTGAATGGATCCTCATGTCGAATTGGCAGGTCATTTGAATTTTATTGGTCCGGATCTATTTCGCCAGCTGCTATCAGTATGATATAAAAAAATTTATTGCACTCATTATGGTGTTAGACCATGATTTATCTTTCTTGTGAAATTGCCAGTTGTAATCACTCGTTGAAACTCGTGATTACAACTTGGCAATTTCACTTGTAGGATAAATCATGATCTACCACCACAACTCATGTAATAAATTATAAATTATCTATACACTCAGTTTTTATTTTTCTAACCTGGGTCTACTATAACTAGCATATGAAGAAAAATTATAAAGGTTTTCCAAAGACTTTGGAAAACTTTTTGTTTGTCCTTTGCTTGCCATCAGAAATTCTTGTTCCCCAGGCGTACACTACCATGAATATAGAGGAAGAAGGATAACAAAGACACACCAATGCACATTTTTTTTTTAACCTTCATTAGAATCAGGTAGAGCAAAAACCCACATCCATCACTTCAAAGCGCACAATATGTGAGGCAGTTGCATTACACTTTGCAAATAAAAGGCAGTATAGAAGAAAAGAGAAGGTAGAATGAAATTTGCTGATAGCATTTAGCTGAAGTAGCTGTCTCACCTGAGTCTCTTGATTAAAGGGATCGAAGTTGTAATCATAGCTCAGCTCTTCCCCAGCCTCAATGTCCCTCAGGGCAAACAGTACCATACGATACAGTCCATTCACATTCCTGGAAAAGGAGAGCAGCACATAAGTAACACATAACATTGAATTACGATTGCCCGTCAGAAAATCCTCTTTTATCCGTTACTGTATTAGGGTTTCCTGCTATGGGTGGTCCAAAGAGACATCTCATCGTTTATTTTTTTAACACATCAGAAAAAAATGTTCATATATTTTCAGTGTCGTAAGACATTTCAACTACAATTTATAATTTCATTCGCTGGAAATCATTGTATATTTGACTTGTGAATTTATGAAATGGGGTTGTTTATTAAAAAACAAATTTGTGTATCTTCTCCCTGGCTTGGAATCAATATCCACATAATCTACTAAGCCTTGGTTGGATTCTCAACTTCAACTCCAAAGCAAAATCCTCAAGTCATTTCAAATTTATTACTTTGGGTTCAAGGAAATCTTTAAGCATCGGGTACAAAACATAATGAAACCTTAAACACTGAATAAAATACCTGCCTGCCTTCATACGACCATAAACGTATCATCCTTATCACAAGAAAGATTTCTTTTTTTTTTCCTAATCACACTCTATAAACCAGAACCACACGGAATTACTATATTTTTCTTGCAACAGTGACAATATCTACTTTCCAAGAAGTAACAATCAACTGGGAATAACAACAAAATACAGCAACGAGCTCGTTAAGAACTATCCTTACCATTTCTGCATCTCACAGTTGGGCTGGCAGGAGTGGTTCACATAGCGTCCAATGTTGCCCATACGGTAACCGTCAATGACACAACCAGAGTCCAAGTGAAGTGCGTAGTGGTGGCACTCCTCAGAGTACTCTTCCATCATCCTGCGCCGAAGCTCCACCTCACTGATCACCTCTCCCAAATACTCAAGGATAAACTGGCCTGAGATAGTCGAAACAGTCCAGAGTTTGACTTAAAATCTAACATGATCACTTGCATCCAGTTTCAACTAATTTAAAATCACAAAATTGATGATCTTAAAATTTAGTCACGTTTGTAATGAACTATACACTACATACAAAGAGCAGAACAATATCTGGAAAAACTCTTCCCGAATAATTTCCCTCATCAAGATTTAGTACCCACAAAGCCATTCTAGCCTGAAGTATAGGGTTTTGCAAGTCATGTCCGTTGCAAAATTTCCAAACAATCGACCATCTTTCAGCTCTGGCCTCTCACAATGCTTAACAGAGCTGAATATACTGAAACTGGATGGAAGGAGAAAACGAATCTGTCCATCCATCCTTTGCTCGCTAACAACAGCTTTAGAAAAGTTGATACAAGAAACCTGACCCCCATGTCAATGATAACATCAACTTAAGATTTAGAAAGAGTTTTACAGCACTTGCAACACAATAAAGTCATGTAAGTGCTGAAGATTAGAGGTGTTACAAGAAAATAACAAACACAAAAAAGAAGAAGGAGGGATAAGAATGATGGATGTTTAATAGGAAGGAAAGAGCAAATCACACCAGAGCACCTGCCAACTACCCACAATAACATTAACAAGAAAAATAAAACAATATCATCCTGCAGAGGAATAAAGAAAAACTCTTACTGCTTTTGATGGCATAGTTTGTCCTCACTCCAAAACCTCTGTCCTTTGTTAAGAACTTCTCTAAGCCTGGAGCCCACTCATGTTTCTGGATCTTCTGATTGCCACAGTTCTCCCCCATGGGACACATGGCAGGGGAGCACTCTGTGTAGATCATCCTGGAGAAGAGAAAATGAGGCAACGTGATTTAAAATCCTTCAGCGCATAACAATGAAAGGCAAACTGAACCATTTGATAAGCTCTTGGCTTGGGCTTAGATCATAACCATTTTAAACTGGCTTTTTGCATATTACACATATGCTCACTCCAATCACATCTTTTCATTTCTTCCAGTGCCAAAACATTTCCACTCTCATCAATCAAGAATACCCCTATGATGCAAACAATAATGAAGGATTCATAAATACAACCACAGGCAACAAGGACAGTTTGTGCACAATATCTTAATGCAATGACATGAGATAATGAGAACCAGGAAAGACCTGAACTGAACAAACTGCGACATTTATAACTTTCAAAGTAAATTATAATAGAGCAGCTCTACTGGCTCTCTTAAAAAACAGGAAAGAAATCCAAAGCATTCACCCCATTTATCCAAACAACAGAAATAACTATGATGAACACCCATTTGCCATAAACCCAGTGCAAGCCTGACATACTTTCAACTGCATCCATTTTTCAGAGTGAATATGAATCTTTAAAATCCAGGATAGAAAGACAATTCATGTTTTTTTTAGTTTAGTATGGGGTTTTACGGCGCTCGCAACTGCATAAGGTCATATGAGCGCGCGAAACACAAGTTAGTCCTATTCGCCACAGTTCACTGTACGGTTGGGCTCAGGTCAGAAGTTAGATCTTAAAATGTTAAATATTCAGGGGGTAATAATAATGACAATAGATAAAGATAACAAAAATAATTTATGGAGTAGAGCCCTTGATTGCTGAATATTTTTTTCTACACCGTATTCTAATATCCAGACTAGGAACTCAAATTACAAAGTGTAAAGTCTTTTCAATTTCTAAACAACAGAGGAATGTTTGATGGATACAGGGCCAACTGAATATGTACAAAAACCCTGAAATTTTCAGACCTTGTGAAAAAACACTCGTGGGACTAAAAACATAAGGATAATTATGTCAAACATATCTAATATAAAAAAAATATTTAAAATTTATAGTTGGCCGAATGTCGAGAAAAATACAGACAATTTCAGAAATCTGGATTTCCTGATTTATTTGGAAAATCGCCACCTCTGACAGAAAGATAGCCTGAGCATGCACACAATAAAGAGAGAAAAAAACGCACCTATTTAGGCAGTCATCAAGACATCCTTTACCACCTGCCGGTGGGGGTTTACAGTTGCACAACGGAACCTCAGATTTCCTGTTGCTCACTTTGCTATCTGAATACACATCTGGAATGCAACAACAAACATTGAATTAAACATGAATAGAAGTCATATTTGTTGACTAAGGAAATTTAAAAAATTTATCAGAATCTGTAAAAATGTTTTTCCTGAATTAACAAAATCCCTGTATATGTACTTCACATCAAGAGCTCTTCCAGAGCCCCAGCCACAATTTCTTCCTCCGTCTACCCACATCTGCCACAACAACCAATACACCGACAATGAGTAAGACTTACACCTTTACTTCAATATGACATTAGGCAAACAAGCCCACCACTTACTTGTTCTTATGTTGCGGAATTTTGTTTTCATCTCAGGTTTCTTTGGTAACTGAAAAATACAGAAACAATAACCAAAGACTGAAAATACAAGTAAAAGCATTTTTTTCTCACCTGTAAAAACTAATCTAGAAAATGAGACAAACTATGATCTAAAACAATTATGAATATAGATAAAAGTATACTAACGCAGTACCCTACTTTTATATGAACAGGAAAGCCTAAAAAGCTGACATGACATTCGTATTACGTGCACTTGGTGTTCACTGGACTCTCATTCTTACCATACAAAGTTAAGAACCAGGTTCTCTTACACAATTTAAAACTGGTAAAAACAAGAATAGGAGCTAAATATGCTACCAGGTTGTAATTATAGCGAAAAAAAATCCGACTCAAAAATCAAAATAATAAGTTTTGAAAACCATTTGTCCATGCATTGATTTCAGAGAAACTGTAACAAAACAAGCTGACAAAAAGGTGGGTACCCTGATTACACCCTTCCTATCAAATTTCCATTTGTTTCCCCAAAGTCAGGAAATTGCAAGAACTTTTACTTCTTCAAAAATGTTCATACCATTTGGTTTTGGTGTTGCCACCAAATGTCATATGGCAGCTGGAAGTCCCAGACTTGCATCATGTAGAAGCTGCCAATGTGCACTGGCTGGGGCATGAGGCCAAACTCATGCTCTTCCTTGATATAGACCAGCTTGTCACGGCACTTCACCATGTTTTCACAACGCTTCCTTGGCCTGAAACAAACAGTAAACTTATTATCAACACTGCCATCTAAAATATGAACAATAATGAGCACATGGGAGTATCCAATCAACCAATCCAAGGAGCCCCCCCCCCCCCTTTCCCTCCCTCCCTTCCCCTCCCTCCCCCCCTCCCTCCCCCCCTCCCTCCCTCCCTCCCTCCCTCCCTCTCTCTCTCTCTCTCTCTCTCTCTCTCTCTCTCATTGAAAGGGTTACAAAGATAAAGGACAAGAGGGGGAAATGACTTGGTTTTAGAGTAGTTTATTGGGCTAAATTAAATCATGCTATTTTTCTTTTGACAGTTAATGGTTTTGCGATTATCCATCATAAGAAAATTAATTTTGCTTGGAGGGGGGGGAGGAGCGGGGGGAGTATACTTACTTTCCCCTACATGACTTTCCCCTACATGACACAGGGTCAGTTCATGCTTCACCACGCAGTTTTAGATCCCCAGGGCAGAGTAGCACTAGATTTAGTGGTCCATTGCCTATAATTAGACCTGATTCGTAAATACTATCTTTAAGAGGAAAATATTTCTCAGTACGGAAAAAAACATGCTTCATACAGGTCACAAAGGGGTTAAAGAATTCAGAAATAACTGATAAGGATCAAACAAAAAGGAAGAAAAATTAAGCTCAAATGGAGACAGCATCAAAGAGTATCAAAGACTTAGTATTCCCATTCATTTTTGTAGCTACTCTTAGTTTTTATTCAAAAACCTTCTTCCTTAAATATCTGAACACACTAGAGGTTTGTGGATACCCGACTACATTCAGAAACAAGACAGATAAAGGCACTTCTAAAACAGTCGGAAAAGAAATCAGTAGCCATCACCTTCATTCCCTTGTAACCTTAACTAACGTATCCCACACAGGGAGAACCACAATCTCAGTAGGCTGTGGACATAAATCCCATTGTAAAATTTTACTGCTTTATAAAGACTAGCCACAACATGAACTTCAAACCCCACACCTCCTACTGCTCAAGACAATGGAATGCACCCTTGTTTTATTTGCTATGTTATCCTTCTGTGTTAAACTGCTTTACGTACAGAGTTACAGATACCTTGCTGGTTACTCAGATGGAACAAAGCCCTCTTAATAGCTCACAGCATGATCATATTACACCTTTTCAAGCCCAGCTATCCTTCAGTTAAATTCAGTGCGTATACAGTAATTGTGTGACAACCATGGGACTCCTTTTCACCATACAGAACACTCCTTGCATTGTTCACACAGAGTGTGTAGGAGACATAACTTCAGAAAGAACAAGCCCAAGTTGAAATCTAATCGAGATAATTTGAAAGAAAGATTTACCGACCACAAGATTAATCAATCAAGTTTTCATGGCGCAAAACCTAAACAAGGAGTTCCTATGGTTTATTACAGCAAGGTATCTTCCATCATATAGAAAAAAGTGGCAAGAGGAGAACTTTTCTGTGTACTAAGCAATACCATCATTCAGTATTGAGTGAAAAAGCATTCGGTGGACAATGAAGACTGTGGAGACCACTTCTAACTGACAAATTTTCAGTTTTCCTCCATCCAATACTGAAAGTACCAGACCTTAACTTTCTGCCTTTATATGACTTGATTAATTTGGCTGTAAATTTGAGATCCAAACATAATAAAGTACTACTGAAATATCCAAGGAGAAACATAATGCCTACTACATGGTCACAAGCTACAACATGTACATAGAAAGGCCATTAATACTGTTTACTTTGGCTCATAAGAAACATTTGCTCCACCAATGCAGTATGTAAAGGGCTGTCATTATATTTTAAATACCTTACGTCTTTACTGTTATGCTATTGTCAACTCTAAAGTGTACCTTCTTTAAACTTATTTACTTTTACAGAATCTTAACCACTTCCTTAGGCAACAAATAAAAATTCAAGAACGTTTAAAACTAAGACCCCTCTAGCCGCAGCACGCTCAAACCACCATTTACAGTTTTTACACCTCGTTTGAAGTTGACTATTTATCTCCTGGATACCAGTGGCCCGTACTTATCCCTTTATTCACAGGAAACAAACTCCTCTGGGATGACAATGCTCAAAAGTTAAGACTAATCCCCAATAAAGTAACTGAAATATTAAATAGCAGACTGGAAATTAGAAATGAATTTGATGTTTCAATAGGTCTGATGAGCAGGCCTGAGCAAGGGTTAATTTATCTCCTCTTCATTTGCTACCATAAAAATGTTTCCACATTGTCTACCACTCAGACTTTGCTTTACAGTCTTCCAAGTCACTATATAATTTCTCCACAGAGGTGATGACTTTATAGGGCTTGGTCGAGATTTTCCACTACAGCGCATGTTCCAACGCCTACTATTGTTTAATTATATTCAAGTCACTATATAAATATATAAAGTATAACTATATAAAGAAGTAGATATCAGGGTTGGGTTGATTTAAATCAGGTTGATTTAAATCAGTTGATTTTTTTTATTTTAATCAACTTGATCTTTAAAATAAAAATCAGTGATTTAAATCACTTTTCAAAAAATGTATTCAGTTTTTACATATTTAAACATTCAGAATTCCTTTCCTTGGTTTTATTAAACAGATATAAGGTTTAGTAGACTAATATAATCATGCTTAAAAGTCTGCTTTCCCCCCTGTCACTGTAAAATAATACAGTTCTCAATTTACTTTTTTTTTTTACAATTGAAAACCAGGGTTGGGTTAATTTAAATCAGTTGGGTTTTTTTATTTAAATCAACTTGATTTTTTAAATAAAAATCAGTGATTTAAATCACTTTTTTAAAATTTTATTCAGTTTTTACACATTTCAACATTCAGAATTCCTTTCCTTGGTCTCATAAAACAGATATAAGGTTTAGTAGACTAAAATAATCATGCTTAAAAGTCTGCTTTCACCCCTGTCACTGTAAGTAGTAAAATAATTACTGTATTCAATTTACTTTTTTTTCATAATTGAAATTAGCATTTTCTTTTTCTTTTTAGACAAACACAAGCGCGCGCACACACACACACACACACACTGAACTGTAATAAAATGCAAGTTATCTATGCATAATTACCCCCCCCCCCCCCCCCTTCCTTTTAGACTGACATTTTCTTCATTTTTTGTCTGTAGCCATAATTCACTGGATATAGCAGATTAAGGCTTTCTAAAATTGCAGTTGCTTAAATTAATCATAAGTTAAAATAAAGACAATGCATTTTGCACTAAAAGAACTTACTTTTAGCCACCAAAAATCCAAAACTGAGTCGACATTTTTATTTTTAAAATTTTTTTAAAGTTTTAATCCGATTTAAATTTTTAAAATCTGATTTAAACTTTAAAAAATCGATTATTTTTTTTTATTTAAAAAATTAAAAAAATCACCAACCCTGGTAGATATTTCTCCTAATATCTTTAAACTATGTGTATCTCAATAACAGCAGTTTGTTTGATCGAACCTCCTCTCACACCTAAAAACTCTTTCCAGTCAAAGTAGGAGACTCAATAAAGATAAATCAGACACCAGATGCCTGGAAAGAGATACAATAAACAGAAACCATCCCTTTACATTTTTTTCCCGCCTCCCAACAACCCTACAGAGCTCAGTGTTTACACCAGGAGGATCCAATATAATGTGGAGAGTAATTTATGCTTTTGCGCAAATCCACTCTGCCGTGTGGGCGGCGGGACGTGCGCTGTATTGGAAAATCTCGACCTAGCCCTATAAAGTCATCACCTCTGTGGAGAAAGTCATCATCACATATCTAGAGCCGTTCTGCTCCACGGGATCAATACAACAGGAGGAAGACCTCGTCAAATTACTGTGTAAATCCCCTTCTCTACTCACACGTCCTCGCCGCTACCATCGCCCGACGCTTGGGCAAACTGGGTTGTTGTATAAATAGTTCTGGCTGCCACGGAGCAAACACTGGAAATCAATACCTCCCCACGCCAACAAGTTACAAGTCCAGATGACATGATAGGACTTATGTCTTCACTCTTGTTACTGCGTACGTCGCACGACATGCGCTCTCCCTGATAACCATACTAAAATTGCAAACACAACACCCATGCATCTTTTTTTTTTTTCAATCCGCTTCTGGGTATGATTTAAATCAATAATTTTCCACGTTTTGTCACAAACTTTCTAACAGAATAATATACTATAATCTTTTTTAAAAGAATTATGCGAACACAAAACGAACTCAACCCCCCCCCCCCCCCCTAAAAAAAAAGAAAGAAAGAACGAAAGAAACAAACAAAAGAGTGTCAGCAAATGACATTCACTGTGTCAAAGACACAAAGAGACAAAAGGGCCTAAGAATAGGTCACAAAGGAACGGGGTTCCCACCAGGGCGAGCTGAACATTGTTAACAACTTAATGTGGAGGTATTCGCCGAAACAGTCGTATCAATACATTCTTACAGCTGAACGAAATGTAACTCGTCTTCAGTTTCCGCGAGATCAAGGGGAGGGATGGAGGGGGAGGGGGAGTGAGAGGGAGAGA